TATATATATATATGTGTGTGTGTGTGTGTGTGTGTGTGTGTTTGTTTTATGCAAGAGCTAAATAAAATCCCCTCAGCATGAAAATATTTGTGTCAATTTTATTTTTAATAATAATACAAATAAATATGACATAACACAGAGAAATGGCCACTACAAAAAGACATGATCCCAACGCAATCTGAGCATCCACTGAGCAGGAACTGCAGCATGAACAGGGACAGAGTGAGAACAGGTGAGTGCAGTGAGGTGTGCAGCAGTGTAGTGAGCATGTCCTCTCCTGTCGCTGATTAACTCCTTTAATGTTTATTTTTGGTAACGAAAATGCGAAATCTTCATCTCTTCCTTTATAGTTCTACACAACCAGAAGTAAACACGCACACGCTTGCGTCTCGTAAGCTCACCGGCATCTTGTGCACCTAGCCCATTGAACTTTACTATGTCGTTTTAACAATGTGTACTTTCGCTTTCACTTGAGTGATTCGCTTATAAACAATCTTCTTTCTTAATCAGTAAATGCACTACAGAATGTTATGTTTTCACACATGCGCAAACACGAACAGCATGTAAACACATCAGCCTTCCACAGCGTAATACACACTGCTCTTAATATTGACTGTACTGCAGCTCATGTCTGGGTGAGTAATGCTGCTTTTACTCTGTCTGGTTTTTCTTTCCACCACTGAAGACTTGCTTTGTTTCCTAAACAGGTGGATTCAGTTGCATTTGCATTGTGAACCTGATAAAGTCAAAAATCTTTGATATTTATGTCATGTGTTAGTGACTAAACTTTGAGATCACTCCGCATGAATGTGTTACGCAATTCTGCACAGAAATAGCAAAAACTGTCCGCAGGTTCTGTCTGGCCTGGAGATGAGCTGCTCATAACATTACAGCACAAGAGCCTCTGATTCTCTACATCACTCGCTGGGTAAGTGACGTCACATGAAGCGGTGTCCGGGTCCAAGCGCTCTATCAGACTGTATGAGGAGGCTGTTGAATGTGAAGCTGTGTATTTTCAGCGTGCTCACCTGCTGGGATGCGTCCGGAGCCTGTCCTCCTGTCGGTCCAGCCCGTCCAGATACTCGTCTTCACCCGTCAGACAGCCTTTATGAGCGCTGCGTCTGCGGCCTGGGACAGCCAAGAGCCAGAGGTCTGTCCGGCACAGGGAAACCCCCATCACAAACACACTCACAGCCCAGCAATCTGAGAGACACAATGAGGAGGATGAGGATGTGCTTTTATTTAGGATCACTTGATTTCAGTTATTCCAGGATCACTCCTGAGCAGTGCAGACGACTGGTCTCTCCACAGAGGCGTCTAGAAGCTGGAATCACCAGCAGAAGCTCTTCCACAGAGTATTAAATAAAGTGTGTTCAGTGCTCATTCCCTGAGCCGTGTCACTTTATTTATTATGACTCCGCTCGTATACTGAAATATTCTGATGATAAATTCAATATTTGGCTTGATGACTGCATCTGCTGGAAACTGTCAATAGCCCACACAGAAATCCCCTTACTGATGAAAATGCTGATGGTCAAACACTTATTTCCCCCGCTGTATATAATTTAATCTTGGGTATGGAGTAATCAGGTATTATATAAAAGATTTGAGGTGAAGCTATATCTCTGTATGTTTGCTGGTGCATGTTTTATTGACCTGAAGTGGTTTTGTGGAGTACATTTAGAAAACCAGTTTATTATACCTTTTTTGCATGTTGCATTGATATATAAATATATAATTTACCTCAATCTCAGTATTGCAACACAGGACATTAATATTAATAGTGTCCCGGGATATAAAGATGCAGTGATTTAGAGTTTTAAACATAAATATTTAACTTCTTTTTTGTAATTTTTCTGTATTTAACACAAATCACATGCTTGAGGTAAAGTTGGTTTGCTATTGGCACATTCAGACTTTAATAAAAAGCTTCAATAAAATATTAAACATCATGTCTAACACAGATTGATTATAATAACACGGACACTCCACAACATCAGCACTGTTTACCTGACTGTCATCATCATATCATTTCAACATTTACAATTAACAAAAAACCCTTTCCTGAAATCATTAATATTATTATTTTAAGTCTGAATGTGCGAATATAAAACCAACTTACCTCTATATATTAGTCTGTTTCAGTCTACCTGTGACAACTCTAACTTACTCCCGCTGTCAAACTACGTGTGTGTGTGTCTCTCTCTCTGTTTTGGGTTCAGTCAGAAGACGCTTATGGACACGTGACTGCCATCTGTCACTCCGGAGATGAACAGCAGCAGCCCTGCAGCAGCGCGACGGCACTCTTCATTTACAGAAAGTCATTTTGGTGCTAGATTTAGCAACTTTTCATGTAACATTAAAAACAACTACATTTAGCAGTCTTGACATTAATTTGTTGAGTGAGAGACCTTAAAGTGCTGCAATTTAAGAAGACACACGCAATTAAAACACACCAGCAAATAAAGAAAATATCCTGATCAGTTTGACACGTGTTACAAATCCTCACAACCCAAACACATTATTAAAACTTGCATTTAATAACAACACATGCTGTCATTGTTCACTAATGAACTGAGCAATTACCGATCACTCAAGCTGTTAAAACCAATAAATAAAAGGCCAACACTGGAGCGAATGGGCTCTATGCACAAATAGTTTTAAATGTGTGTGTGTGTGTGTGTGTGTGTGTGTTTTCTTTGGGGAATAATGGTTTACATTTATTACCTGTTTTAACAGAATCCTTTAAATAGAAACACAATGATGTGCGTCTGAACTAACATGAACTCATCTTTAGCCGCTCTTTTTATTAATTTGTCATCATTTTCATTTTTTCCGAAAAATAGTTTCAACACCAAACATTGTTGTTTTAACTCAGAAACGTTTAAAATAAGTTCTTGGTACATTCGAAAAATCCATAAAACTTATTTTTAGGTTAGACCATGTCTAATAAACAGGACACGACTCTTATTTTGTTTTTGCTTAGTGACGTCATCACGCCGCGCCGCGCCGCGCTCCTGCTTCTGTTTTCATCCGGCTGGAGAAAGGTTTGTTTTTAAACTGTTTAATCACACAAAAACAGTTTAACAATTGTTATTAATATTTTTAGCAGTACAACATGAATTATGTGCTGCTGGGTGTATTATTGCAATGCCTTTCAAACACCAATGCAGGCTATTTGCGTGAGTAAAGCGCGTTCATTCCTATCCGCGCATGAAGGAAAAGCTGCCTCTCATTTCGCTCTTAATATCAAGATCTGCTTGATCAGAAATCCAGTCACTGACTATCCGTGACGGCAGAAACAGTTTTTAGACAGTCCAAGTGGACTGAATCAAACGCTTCTCAAAGCGATTCAGTGATCCGAGTCACCGCGCGGTACCGACTCCTGCTGGTCAAACAGCGCAGGCGCAGCAGTTCTATCATTACAGTGGACATATACTGCGTTCAGGTTTCAGTTCAGTAATTAACACAACTCTGCCTGTGTTTTTACTCGTTTATTGTGGAAATGATAAGAATTAGATGTACAGTTCACCCACAATGTACTCAAATAAGAAATGCAGCAAATGAAAACTATTTCATTGTCTAAATGGGCTGATGGTTGATCTCTGAGAGCTGTTCTGTATAGGACTATGTCACTCATTTGCTTCTCAGATTGCTTTTCTTGATTAAAACACTGTTGAAACCCTGTCATTGTGCTTGTCATTGTGCTTGTCCTCAGCCCAGATGAACCTCCTGCTAATTCAATGTGTAAAGGCTTTTTCAAAGTGATTTTAAAAATTATTGTAAGAGATATAAATGCAAGGCCAGGTTTACAGTAGCTGGAAATATATATTTTTTGATCCATAAAATGTCCAGCCGTTATCAGCGTGCAGTGAATCTTGGGACATTCGAGGCCGAGGATCCACCGGTTGTGTGCTTCATTACCTGGGAACCAGAGGACATGTTTGGAGGCTGTGTTTGAAGGAGCCTTTTATTTTTTTCTAAATGAGACCGCATTCATCGTGCCGTGATGATGCAGCACACTTCAAATGCATCCTGAGGATGCAGCCTCTGAAATGGGACACAGCTACTGAACCGTATGAATAAATGCTAGTCTTTGTATGATGTTTTGAGGAGGACAAGCTTAGGTCAGGCCCTGTCACGTTATTTATAAGTGTAAATGTACGTGTCTGGTAGAATGACCCATAAATCTTCTGCTGAACACAAGATATTTTGTAGAATGCTGAAACCATTGTCTTCCATAGTAGGAAAAACTAAACCGATGGACGTCAGCAGTTACAGGTTATCTTATCGTGTTCAACAGAAGAAAAACCTAAACCGGTTTGGAGCAAGTGAAGGCTGAGTAAACGAGGACTTGAGACTTCAGTTTTGGATGAACTGTGCCTTTAAGGCCATTAACTCTCATTCTGATTGGCTGCTGAGCTGGAGAGCTGATGAGGCAGTCAGAGGTTAGGGTTTGGAGTTATTCATATTTATGTTGATATTTTCTCTCCTCTGAAACTCACAGAGACTCCATGAGACCCGTGAATGTGTAATTCTGAAGATGGCGTTGATTAAAGAGGAATGTGAAGACGTGAGGATTGAAGAAGCTTTCAAAATCAGAGATGAAGATGCGGAGGAACAGACAGGTTGGTTTTCCTCATCTGATGCTCTCAGCTCTGCAGAAATCACACGTGTTTTAAATATAAAGGGTTTTATTTGACCTGAGCCTTGTGTGGACACAAATGACCAGATAACACAGAGGCAGCCCGTACTACACAAATATTGTGAACAACATTAAACCCAGTGTCTAACATGGAAATGGTCATATTGATAGTATTGATATTGATAACACTAACTACACATGGTGAGGTGAGGTGTATGCTGAAGATATGGGGAAATTCCCCTAAACAGTGTGACACCGCTACTACTCGCACACACACGTCATCATGTCGTCACTAGCACACTCATGGAGCGGCCATTCTCAACTCATCCATATGGAAGTTGAGTGTAATGCAGTGTGTGATCATCAACACTGATCTACTGTATGGATGAACTGAAACACTCTGCTGAGCTCACATCATGCCATGAGACGCTCACTATTGCGTCTGGTGTTTCTGACGGAGCGCTGTGACATCATGCACTCCAGCACTAAGTGTGGCTGTCTCGTAACACAAACAGCACAGCGCACTGCTCTGATGTCAGCAAAACAGCAGACTGTACAAGTGTGGCCAGCCTAGCATGCAAACAGTAGTGTTGGACTGTATTTGGAGGATTGCTCTTCATTTAGAGCTGGAAAGTGTGTCAGCCTTTGGGTTTCGTCAGGTGTTCATCTGGTGGATCATGCTGAAAAAGCAGGAAGCTGTTCTTTATTTATGTAGTGCTCATATTCATGAATATAACCACAAGAGAAGAAGATTAATGCCGAGCTCAGACTGCAGGATTTAGCCGTGTCACAGGTGTTTTCACACTGCATCTCTCTGGGCTGTTTCATTCAGCTGTTTTTAATTCAGTCAGCTTTGCGTTTAACGAAAGATTTAATAAACTTTTACAGCTGAGAACAATGGTTTGTGTCTTTTTTGTGTCAAACAGATAAGCTGGATAAAGCACATGCAGGACGGTTGTTTTCTCAGAATAAACCCCTCAGTCAGTGCTTTGCATTAGGCTGCGGATATGCCTGTCGGCCTTTATTCTGCAATAAACCCCTGGATGTCCTTCATCCCTGACTGAATATCTGTGTAATATGTTGGGTGGTAATTTTAAGGCTGTTGGTGACATTTTGTCATGAACACCACACACTGTAAATGTAAAGATTCAGTTGCTTGTTCGTATTAAAAATCCTTCTTTTCACATTTGTAGTGTCAGTTTTGCAGTCGTGTTGCTGCTGTAGATGGAGTGTTCGGGGGAAAAATCTCTCGTAATACCCAAAGTTTGTAGTGTGGTCCTAAAAAACCATCACTTGATGGGCTGTGTGGCTCTAACCCTTACTCCTACACCTCCAAACAAAAGAGAATAGGGACAATCTTAAGGCTGATTTATACTTTTGCCTGGTGCAGCGTGGTGGACCTCCGCTGACTGCACGTGTATCTCACGAAACGAACGAGGCTTTTATATTTGATGCATTCGCTGTTTGTGATATTCTTTACAACAACAGGGGGCGCTCAAAAGACACTGAGCGTAAAATCAGACGAATAAACAGAAAAGTAGGAAGTTTCCGGAACTAAGTCATATCGTTAATATCACTCAATACTTTTAAACTAATTATTTTTACTTTTATTTTAATAATTATAAAGATTTTTATTACCATTCAAGATTTCTAAATCAAACTTTGATGCATCACTTGCTTTTGGTCACATTTCAGACAGTTAAAGTTACCTGTATTAGCTACATATTAAAGCTAAATATCAGTGACAGCAGAACATGGGCAGCTCTACTAATATAAATATTTATTATGGCAAGGTAAAATGTACACTTACTAAATAATAGAGACGTTTTATGGATTTAGCCCACTCCATAATTCACATTACTGTCTGGCTAGTTTGTGTCCTCTGCTTATGCTAAAAAGACAATAATGGTCCAACATCCCTGACATCAATCACCAATAAAGCCCAGAGAAACAGGGCATCAGTATCCTGTAAACCGACAGCTTCAAATTCTCCCTTCCAGTTATTAAAGGAATAATTCAGTCTCTTCATTTTAGTTTTGTAACTGTTAAATTGTTTTACATTCAAACTGTGCTAAACACATCAGAGTAAAACCTGGTGGAAACACAGATTCTGTGATTGTGTATCCGGGTCTCCACTGTTGCCATGGCCTGTGTTTTTTGTTTTAATAATCTCATCCCTCAAGTTTCTTTAAACATTTTAACAAAAACTCTCCTCCTTTTCCACGGCTGCACTCAAAAAAATGATATGTTGGCGTTAATTAACTTTTTTTTGTCCACTGGTTCCACGTAACCGAGTTAAGTTACCTTTAAGAAAGAATATTAATTTTAGTGAACTTAAGTTAGTTACATAAAGGTAATGTAATGTTGTTTAGTTCAATCAACGTAACATTTATAATTTAGCTTTAATCAATGTAGTTATTTAAGTTCAATTATTCTAAAATTGATATTGTTATGTTTAACCAAATAAAAAAACAGTTTCCGTTTCATTGAGTTTATTCAATAGAATTTTTACAGTTTTACACATTTTCCAGCAATAAAATGATTATCAAAATCCAAATACTGTCTTTACCTGTATCTTCACTTATACAATAAGTTTTACAATAAGTTAAAATATTAATACTATTAAAATAATAGTAATACAAGTATGAAGCAAATTGAAAACAATAAATGATTAACAAAAATATGCTTACAAAAACATCATAAAATACACTTTTTAAAATAATACTTTTCATATATTACAAAAACATCCAAAAATAATATTCTGCCTTCAAATGATTTATCAAAAATATACTTAGAAAAATCAAGTCTTCTTTTGTAAACTATACTGTACCTTCTTTACACTGAAAAAGTAGATAACACTTCAGTTGTTCAAAGAAAGATTAACATTTTAAAGCAAAGTAACACGATCAGCACTACACCATAAATTAGACCAACCATCACAGAACATGCAATAGCTACACACATTCATCTCTCTGACACTTGCATCATTTATGCACATTTGCACCAGACACTTTCTTACAACCACTCCCTATATCTATAAAACAAAACATTGTGCATGAAGTCTGCTTCAAACAGGTGTGTGGGCTTGACAAACCACATGTAGAAGCATTCTTAATTCTTAATTTTTTTTTATAATTAGCACATCTTGGATGTATTGCCTCTTCTTGTTGATTTGCTGAATGTGTCCTCAATTGTAAGTCACTTTAGACAAAAGAGTCTGCTAAATGTTAATGTAACTACTGTAGATTCATAAGGTGGTGTTGCACATCAAGGTTTGCGCTTCATCATGCCCAGCATCCTAAAAAAGTCAGGTAAAAAAATAAAACTATTACCAACAGATCAAAGGTGAAAGGAGGAATTGGTTTAAGAGGAAAATACAAAATGTTTAAAAAAATAAAATAAAATAACTTACCATGTACTCCCTCACTTAGGGGCTTTGAGGATGCATTCACACCTTTTTTCCACTGGTGATGTTCTAAATGACATGAAATGACAATTAGTAATTTACTAAATAATTAGTAGTTAAAATTACTAGTAATTTTTACTGTACATCATTTTAATGTGTGTATAGGCATCTAAAGGCATAGTACCTGGATGATCCACAGTCTCCTCAGCCAGATATGGGACTTTAGAGGTTGAGCTGTAAACCTGTGAGGGAGAAAATAGATGTGAGTGAGCAAAAATGTAAAATAATAAAATATAATAATATAAATAGCAAATTAAAACGTGTTAGATGACCAAACAAATAAGCTTACATTAAATATGTCATCATACTAGATGCCATCCTTTTTAAGTGTCACAAATGCATTTTTGCTGGGTTTTTTTTTAAGTTAACAGGCTTGAATAATACAATTAAATAATAAATAACACTGTGCTAACACCACATTTTAATTAATATTAGGTAAGTTATCAAAACTAGCATTCAAACTCGACAAACTGCTTGACACTCATTTAAAATAAAGACCATCAAATCAAATAAAAAATCAAATCACTTTTATTGTCACATTATCAGCAGCACGTGTGCTATGATGAGTGAAAAGCTTAGACTATTCTAACATGACTATTACTTACTACCAACGTTTGCAACTTTATTTTGGGGGAGTTAATATATACCAAGTATAAAATTTCACAGGAATGCAAAACAATCTATACATTTATCTGTCTATAATGTGGAAAAGACACAGGGAACATGGCAATTTCATAGCAATACTATACACAAACACAACATAGTATTACAAGAGAGTACATTTATGATTAAAATGTTGTCACAGACTCAGTATAAATTAGGGATGTAACGGTATCAGAATTTCACGGTACGGTAATACCTCGGTATGAATGTCACGGTACGGTATTTATTGAATCATTTACAGGAAAAAACAAAACTTATGAAAATACTCCAAAAAAGTGCCAAAAGTGTCAATGACATACAAATTAGCCATCTATATGTAAGTTTTGAAACAGGAACTTCAATTTTAATAACAAAAAATTATTAAACCATGTAAAAAAATAAAGTTTCAATTTAGTGGTGTTGAAAACTCATCACATTCAACATTTAATCACACTCAGCCCATCTACCCAGATGAGAGCTCTGCTAGTCGGACTTCTCATCAACCATCTCCCGCTGGATCTAATCTCACTATATTTATTAAACGGGATATTTCATTTATCTTGTTGTCTTTATCTAACGACATATTCCCTGACTTTGGGCATTGGAATCTATTACTTGTTCTCAGGTAACGTGTTTTGGCTGAGCGCAAAGATAAGTTAATGATTAATGTAACCACGTACATTCTGTATATTGACTGATCGCTTGCCTTTATTTCCTATAATGTATAAACTTATTGTATGTTATACTTTTAAAATGGCCATTATCGATTCTTAAAACTGATATTCAGCAAAAGAGAGGCTGTGTTTCGTATTTTCACTGAAATTGAAAGGAGGCAGTGTTTTTATCGGCTCCGTTTTGTTATAAATATCCACAGT